GTTGTTCTGTTACAAGCCCTTGAGTTTTTCCTTGGTAATCCCTGTGTTATCCTGCTGCACGAATGCTCATAATCTATGGTAGGAAAGCGCTGTAATTACTAAAAGCTACTTAATTACCAGTACTTTTGCCTCTTGCCCCCCAGCCTTGAATCTGTCACCTCTGTCTAAGCCCCCCCCCTTGGTATTTAAATAGCTAATCTGGTGCTGGCTGCCGAGGTAACGATGTGCAAACCTCTAAGCAACTTCACCTCGACCTTCACGTTTCTGTTTATTTGGTATTTCCTTTTGCGTTTCTGTGTATGAACTGACTTGGCCTCTGCTAATAATTAAAAGTATCTGCTGAAGTATTCACCAAAGTCACTAGATAAGAATTCCTGTGAACAGTGTGTCTTGTGACATTCGCTTGTCCCCTGAAGTATAAAACCAACTGAGGCAAGTATTTTTGAAAACCCGTTCAAGTTGATACATATATATTTGTAAGCCTACGTGTAATTCACTTATTCAGTATTTATTACGCTTCTACGATGTGCCCAGTCCTGTTCTAGGCAGTGACAAACAGAATCCCCTGGCTGCATGGCACCACCATGGCCTTGGGGGGGTGGGTGGGTGGGATGGAGGACACAGATATTAAATAAGCAAAATACATGATATGTCATATGGAGATAACTGCTATGGGAAAAGTAAGACCGAAAAGGCTGACAGGGAGTAGGAATTGAGCTTTAAAATAGATTATCCATGATCACTGCGGCACTACTCACAATAGTCAAGTGATGGAAACAACGTCAATATCCTTGGATGGATGAATGGATAAAGAAAACGTGGTGTGTACACACAATGGAATATCATTCAGTCTTTAAAAAGAAAGGAAACCTGCCATTTGTGACAACATGGACAAACCCACAGGGCCTTCTAAGTGAAATAAGCCAGAGGCAGAAAGGCAAACACCACATGATCCCGCTTATATGTGGAATCTTAACAGTCAAACTCATATAAACAGAGAGTAGAATGGTGGTTACCAAAGGCTGCAGGGGAAGGGGAAAATAGGAAGATGTTGGTCAAGGGCACGAAGTTCCAGTGATGCAAGATGAGTAAGTTCCGGAGACCTAATGTACCCCAATGTCACCGTAGTTAACAATATCAGATTGTATATTGCTAAGAGGATGGACCCTAAGTGTTATCACCACAAAAATAACATAATAAAATAAAATAGGGTGCTTAGAGAAAATAGCTTATGAAAAATCTCAACAAGTTAAGGGGTGAGCTACAAGGATGTAGGGCAAGCATCCAGGCAGACGAATGACCAGCAAATTCTGGCAACAGGGAAAGGCTGACGTGTAAGAAGCCAACTGAGGCCAGAAAGAGATTAGGGTGCCTGATTTTATAGGATGCATACTTGATACACAAGGAGTTGACTTTTTCTTGGTGTGAGACAGGAAGCCTTTGAAAGGTTTCAAGCATAGGGACGCCTGGCTGGCTCAGTGGGTAGAGCATGTGACTCTTGATCTCAGGGTTGTGAGTTTGAGCCCCATGATGGGTGTAGAGATTTCTTAGAAACAAAATCTTAAAAAATAAATTAAAAAATTGTTTTCAAAAAAGGAAAGGATTCAAGCATGAAAGTGGCCTGGAGGACTTGTGATTTCAAAGAGGGGGCCATCTGGCTATGGGGTGGAGAACAGACTGGAAATGCAAGGGAAAACCAGGGGACCTGACTGGAGGTAATGGTGGCTTGGTCCAGTGGGGTAGCAAGTGGAGGTAGAGAGAAGAGGTTGGATTCTGGATATGTTTTAGAAAGCAGAGATAATAGGATTTATTGGTAGCTTGGATGAGGGGTGTGAGTGAAAGGAGTTAAGGTTTTCAGTATGTGTATGTGTGTGTGCACGCACATGAGTATAAGAGTGTAAGTCTAGATAAAGCTTAACATTATGCAAGGGTGTCTGGCTTAATTGCCTACTTATTTCTTTTTTGCTCCATCCTAAAACCCTGCAAGGGAGGGGAACTTCTCAGTTTTATATATTGCTCTATGCCCAGTGTCTAGAACAGTCTCTCTCTCTCTCAAAAATGAAAAAAGTGTTTATTATGAGTAATGAGATTACAGAAAAATTGTCAAGAGCTCTGTTATTCTCTGTCGTCTCTATTTTTAGCTTTGAGCCGGTATTCATTTAAAAATAATGTATTTGTTTAATTCTAGAAAATAAATTTGCCGAATTATGTGATGTAAACATTTAATGATTGTTTATTAAAACTATTATTAAAATGTGAAAGAGTCGACAGTCTACAGATGGCATGATGTTATTTTGAAAGCCAATGTCAACGTGGGGAAATGAATCCAGGCAGTATGCAAAAATAAATCCTAATCTTATAGAATAAAACCGCTTTGTGGATATGCAGGATCAGTTGCTAGGACGGGATAGACTTTATTAATGTTGTTTTTCTACAAGGACACTACCTGGGGCTAGCTTTCAGCCAGTCAGTCAACTGCAGTGTTTGCATTCATGAGTTAATCATGTCTTGTCTTGTTCAAAAGGAGGGTTTTTTTTTTCAGAGATGCCAGCCTTCCTATAACCAAAACATTTCTGTAATCTTCGTTTGAATTAAGGTTCATGGAACATTGTTACTCACATACATATGTGCCTTGAATTTGGTTCTTTGTGGAAACAGAGCATTGGAGACAGTTGGTTTGTTATTAAGAAGAAACTTAGAGATGGAACTACTCTCGGATGTTTCCAAGTAGAGCAAATAAACCTAGAGCCCTTCAGTGGGTCACAGGACCACAATACATGTATACATTCTGAAATCCAAAAAACTCTGAAAACTGCAAGCTTTGGGGGGACGTCATCTGGAAGCACAGGCCAGACTGGCCAGAACTCATTTGGGGCTGAACTTGAACTAGGGTCCCTAAAGCTATGTGTGGTCTCTATATATTCCATCTAATGTGGATGCTCGCTGGTGTCATTCAGAAATATTAATGTGTCTGATCACAGGGCGGGGTACCATGTTATGAAATAAACACTGTAAACACTCAATCATCTTTCTAAGAATTCTGTTTTCTGAAATACATGTGGCTTAACAGGGTTTGCGTAGGTCCTGTCCTGTGTTTGCTGTTGGGGGCTGACTGTGCTGGTTTTGTCCTTCCCTAAGAAATAAGGCTGATGGCTGTCTTGCCCAGTGGATGTTGCGGGACTCCCTTTCCAGGCGACTGAAGCTTTTGCAGAGCAGAGTCTCTGTCCCATGTGTCTAGCTCACAGGGTTCAGTGCCGTGCTTTTTTTTTTTTTTTAAAGATTTATTTATTTATTTATTTATTTATTTATTTATTTATTTATTTGAGACAGAGAGAGAGAGAGAGAGTGAGAGCCAGAGAGAGAGAGAGAGGCAGAGACACAGGCAGAGGGAGAAGTAGGCTCCATGCTGGAAGCCTGACACGGGACTTGATCCCAGGACTCCAGGATCGCACCCTGGGCCAAAGGCAGGCGCCAAACCACTGAGCCACCCAGGGATCCCCCAGTGCTGTGCTTTGAGCAGACGTGCCACGCTTTGTGGTGACGAAGCTTCTGGCCCCTTCCTTTCCAGGTAGGGCGCAACCTTGGAGAAAGCGTGAAGCTAGGTGACATTGTCTCCTGTCTTGTCACTGTGTGTGGTGATGGGTAATAAGGATTAGGAGATGTCATCCTGGTGATTGGCCAAACGGCGATTCCAAGCCACAACAAGGATACCATCTGATCTTTTAGTGATGACACAACCCTCTGCGGATGCGATGGACTGACGTGTCTTAGGGCAGTGTCAAAGCCACTAAGAGCTTGACAACTCAAATCAGTCTTGAGTTGGGCTCCCCGCTGCACCACATTTAGACTGGGCCAGGGTCCTCTCTGTAACCCACACAATTCGGCTTAGCTCATAACTTACTACATAATTTTCACCATAACTTCCTCTTCTTGGGGAAAAGGTGTCCACTCTGTGATTCCCGGAGATTCCTAACCCGGTGAATTCCACAGCACCCCTTCTTCAAATCCTGTATTGTTACCTCCCCACCTCCCCAAGCCCTGAACACATAACTCAGGCTAAAGCAGTGGCCGTGGGTTTAGATAATTTAGGAGACTGCAAGATAGACTCTTAGAGTGTTCAGGAAACAGGGAAATGAAGGATCTAACCTTTCCCCAGTGCAAGGCCCCCACACTTGTCATACCTTGAGGAGGGGACCCCTCATACACAACAGAGCCCATCTCTGGTCAGAGCAGCTCAGTTGGCTCCTCTTACTCCTATTTGGGGGCCTCAGGAACTTCTCAGGAATGGCCTGCAGAAATTGGAAGGTGGTCTCCCTGTTTCTTTTCTTCCAAAATTTACCACCCTTGCTCTTGGACAGTGAGGCAGGACAGGAGCATTTGCATTGGGTACCAACTGAGAAGCTTAATGCCGGGCTCCCTGGGGGAAAGCGGAGATTAGGTATTTGGGTGTCCAGTGTGGGGTGTTGGGGGGGTGATTTAAATGGCTCTGGAACTTGATGCCGTTACAGAAAACACCCCAAGCTGCCAGTAGAACCGGGATCTTTTCACCGAAATCCACAAGGGCCGTGAGAAAGGTTGTCATTGGCCAGGCTCCCAGGCCACCGAACAAGGGGAGAGGATGGGATGCAAACCCCGCCCAAGCCCCAGGGGGATGGAGTTGGCACCGTTGACTTCTGGGCAGCCCCGACGGCAGGCCAGGCATTTCAAAGGGTGCAGGAGCTAAGAGGCCTTCCCCAGCTCCTCCGTGGCCCGCGCGCCTCCAGGGGGCCCCAGGTCAGAATTAGAGTCTGGGTGGGAAGCGTACGAGCAACCGGGGAGCCGAAGTCGCGGTGGAGGAGACACCAGAGAGCGTAAATCCGGGAGGGGGGCGCGGTGTCTTGGGGTCGTGTCACTGCCCCGCAGGTCCCGCGCTCGGCGCAGAGCGCCCTAGGAGGGGGCGCAGCGGCCGCGGGCACCTGCTCCACCGAGGGCTCCCCAGGGGCGGACAGGGCGCTGCGGCCATGGCCGAGGCCGCGGAGCTGGAGGGCGCCCCCCCAGGGCCCCCGGGGCCGCCTGAGGTCCCCGCGCCAACCGCGGAGAAGGCGGGCGCGGAGGCGGAGCGGGCGGAGGCCGGCGAGGGAGCCCCGGGGGCGCCGCGGGGCGAGGGGGCGGGCGCAGCCGCCACGGCCGCCCTGAGCCCCGCGGGAGGCGCCCATCCGGACGCGGGGCGCAAGGGCGAGCGGGGGCCGGACGCCCACGGTGACCCGGGGGCCGAGGCGCGGGGCGCGGGCGCAGCGCCGGGCGAGGCGGACGCCGAGGAGGGCGCCCCGGGGTGCGCCGAGGTCCCCCGGGGAGAGGAGGGCGAGGCCTCGGGGGAGCTGCGGGGGGGCCCCGAGGAGCCCGAGGAGCCCGACGCGAAGGAGACAGCGGAGCAAGGGCCGGAGGGAGCGGGCGGCGGCAGTCCGGGGGCGCAGGGGGCGCAGGGGGCGCAGGGGGCGAGCATGGCAGCCGCGGAGCAGGCGGGAGGGGCGCACGGGCCCCAGGGGGAGCCCGGCGACGGAGGGGACCTCGGCCCCCAGCCCACTGAGGGGGCCCCCGGGGGGCTTGCAGGGGAGCCTCGGAGTGCAGCGGGGACCCCGGGGACGGAGGAAGCGGGGGACGCGAGGGCGGCAGCCGTGGAGGACCTGGGGGGACCCCAGGAGGGGACGGAGGAGCAGGAGAGGCGAGAGCGCGGCCCGGGGGCGCCGGGCGGGGGCGAGGAGGAGCCCCCCGACGGCAGCGCGCAGGCGGAGGAGCCTGAGGAGCCGGAGGAGCCGGGGGAACCGGGGGAGCCGGGGGAGCCGGGGGAGCAGGAGGAGCCGGAGGAGCCGGAGGAGACGGGGGAGCTGGAGGAGCCGGAGGAGACGGGGGAGCTGGAGGAGCCGGAGGCCGAGCTCGGCAACCACCTGGCGGAGGAGGGCAGCGTGCAGGGCGCGGACGACGCGGCGCGGGTGAACGGCGGCGGGGAGGACGGCGAGGCGTCGGAGGAGGGCGCCCCGCGGCAGGAGCACGACATCACCCTCTTCGTGAAGGTACCCGGAGCTCCGCGGCCCCTCGCGCCCCCTGAGTCGGGGCTTCCAGGGGCGCTGGTCGTGGCTCTGTTCGCGGGACGGAGGGAGGGAGGGAGGGAGGGAGGGAGGCAGGCGGCCCGGCCCGGGTCACCGGGAGCTTGCGGAGCGCTTGGGGAGACGCGGGGGTTTGGAAACAAAGAGGTTGGGTGGGGGTAGTGGAGGGGGGGGAGTCGGGTGTGGGCCCAGCATCCCACTGTCCTTTGTTCTGAAAATCCTAACTGGCCCTTCTAGTCTGGAGATTATTGGAGAATAAATTAAAAAAAAAAAAAGTGAGCCCTATTGATGTTCAAAGCAATTCATCCCGAAGGAAAGCTCTAATAGTTGAAATGGAAAAAAAAAAAAAAAAGGCTAACAGGTTGTAAGGTGAGAAGTATCCCCAGGACTCAAATTTCAGAGGCCCCGAGCTGGCCAACGTTTTCAGTTCCAAAAAAGGTATCTCCCTCTTTGGTATGTAGAATCCATGAGGTGCATTTGGAAGGGAAGTGGAGATTTATTTAAATATTAAATTGTTGAGCGTTTTAGCATTTGTTTTGGAGGAATACAAGGTGCCGGTGACTTGAACCTCATCTGCCTTTATATTTCATATTTCAGTCTTGCTTCAAATGTGAAGGGAGCGATGATTTTTGTTAAAGAATCTATAGGACATGACTGAGAAAGTTTTGAGTTTAAATAGGCATTTCTACAAGGCATCGGAAATATGGGGCAAGGTCCAGCAGTAGCTCACACACATCCTGATCTTTGTTAAGAAAGAAAGAAAGAAAGAAAGAAAGAAAGAAAGAAAGAAAGAAAGAAAGAAAGAAAGAGAAAGAAAGAAAAGGAAAAGGAAAGAAAAAAAAAGAAAAAAGAAAGCCCTTTCTGGAGACCTTTGGCCAGACCAGGAAAGCAGCAGATAATAAGGTCAAGAATGTGCATTGCATGTTGAATCATAATCCTTCCAAAATACTTTCAGGCTTATAGAAGCCAGTGAGGACCTAAAGCTCCTTGACGGGAATGTAAGCAAACTCTAATAAGCAAAAAGAGAAATGTTTCCAAAGTGATTAACATCAGAATTTCAAGAATTGCCTAGGTGGCAAGGGGGTTGGGGAAGTGAGGGCATGTGTTTCTTCACTAGTGGGAAGGTGCTGTTCTGAGCATTTTTGAAGACCCTGGAGCATTTTAAGATTAAGTGTTGGGATATAACCTAAGGGCACAGCCCTTAGGAAGGCCACTGGGAGCTGGGAGGCTGCAGGGAAGGGGAAAGGGAAGGGAAGGGGGAGAGCTGAACACAATGCTGCTGTGTGTGCCTCAAATCTGCTCTTCATTTAAGACATTTCCCCGTTGCTCCATCTTATTGCCAATCTGCTTCCAGCACATCTTTCCAGTTTCTTGTTACAATTTTGAAATACAGTAACATCTTCCTAAGACTGTCTTCCATGCTCCGAGCTCTCCAGTCTAGGCCTTTGGTGATAGCCAGTGAGCTAGGACATGAGATCTGGTCACTTTGTTTCTGCAGCTAAAATTCTCCAGTTATTTGTTGTAGGCTTTCAGATGAGTCCACACTCCTTAGCCAGGCCACAGGCCACTCCTGATGTCATTCCTGCCTCTTCGGTATTGCCTGGGTGTCCCCCAACTTTGTCACCCATGGTACCACCATGCCAGCCATATTGAACTGGTTCCATTCCTTGAGAGAACCACATTTTTTCCCGCCTGGAAATTTTGCAGGTGTTGTACCCTCTGCCAGAATCAAGTTTCTCCCCCCTCATCCCTCTCCCTAGTTATCTGCTGTGTGTCTAGATTCAGCACGGGCATCACCGCAGTGTGGGTTGGATATCCCTCTGTTGAAAGTCCACTCACACACTGTAGGTTTTATCTCTTTCCTTGACTGCATAAATTTTATCTTCTATCCTCCACGTGGAGCACAGGTCTGGAGCATGATGAAGGTTTGAATGGGTGGTTTCCTGCACAAGATAGTGTACTTTGGTGATCAGTAGCATGGACTTTAGAGCCAGTGGGAACAAATCCTGGCTCTGCTTCTTTCTTGCAGTGTGCATCCATTGATTTTGCACAGAAACAATCCCCTGCCCATTATATCCCTGCCCCCCTCCTCTTCTAAGGGAAAATCTCTCTAGATACCTACTAGATACCTAATTATCTCCATTCTCTGGGGATAATAATTTTATGAAAAATAAAAATAAGTTGTGTGGGGATTTTTGTTTTGTTTGCTTTTTTTTTTTTTTTTTTTTTGCTTCTGCTCAGGAGTAATTTGTGTGGGCAGAGGCAAGGGGCTAGTCATAGCTTATCCAGAATGTTTTATTCTGACGTGATTAGCTTGTGATCAGTTGCTCCTGCTACCTTTTTTTTTTTCTTTAAGAAAACAGATCTCCAAATAAGGAGATGGGTTTTTTTTTTTTTTTCAGGAGATTGGTTTTTAAGCAACTACTACTTGATATAAATTCTGAGAGTCACTGAAGAGGTGTCTCGTAGGATTGTTAAGGCATCTCATTTTCTTTTTATCCTAAAAATGATTCTCCTTAAAAGCAAAAAAGACCCCATAGTGAAATCCATCAAAAATTCTTTAGATGTTTATATCTTTTGTGTTTTGTGATACTTGATTTAAAATCCTTAAATTAGTTTAAAAGAGGATTTCTTTGCCAGATTTAGCCTTCTTGAGTTCCTTCTTTGGACTCCACTTATTTGGACTGTAATCCATGTACAGTAGACATCTGACCTCCTGGGTTTTATAAACATGTCAAATTTTTCTGTGCCATCGCTGGAGTGCAGAATTCAGATTTGTTCTTTAAGGGGAAGTACTGTAAACATTCCAAACATTCCCCTCACCTTCATCTGACAGCCCAGTAAATACCATTGTAATTAATTAGCCCGTATTTTATTTGTCAATTTTTAACTTTTACACTTTCCCCCTATTTTAAAAAATATATTGGTTGCAAAAATACCGCAAAGTAATGACATATGACTCAGTAACAGGTGCAAATACTTTTAGCCACCTGGCGGTTTATCGTCTCCATCTTTGGAATTGCCATCTTACTAATTTGCCATTTTGTTTAATTCCATAAGTATGCAAGAATGTACTCTTGTAAAAGAGCCGAGAACATATATAGAACAGGCTGCAGAAAGCTTCCCTGAATTATTGTATGGTAAATTAATTGCTGATCATGCTAATTCTTACTTTTGTTTTTTACAAAGAAGTATTAATTATTTGTCATCAAATTATAGGGTAACCCTGCAGTATATTTAGTAAGAAAGATTCTTTTCTTCTTTACTCATAACAAAGAGTAACAACATAATAACATACCAACATAACAATAACAAACGACAAATAAAATACTGACAACAAAGGATAAGGTAGGCACCTCACCAGCTGTGGGGATTTAGTCACTAAGGAAGTCTTACTTACAGATTTGGTGCTTCTAATCCAGCATGTATACTTTGAGGCAAGGTCTAGGGGTCGGATAATCTGAGATATGGATTTCCGGGCGAATTTCACAAGACTTAAAACACTTCAACGTGACCAATGAATAGTCTTGGGCCAGAGTCTATGAATTTCTTAAACTAGACTTTGGACACCATATATTTAACCATTAACATGCAGCTGCTGTGGAGCTCAAAAACTTGCATTTGCCATCACATTTGGGTGATGTCTCTAGACAGGTGGAATTGGTGATGGAACAAGTCCAACGCAAGGAAGATATGACCTCTGACTAGGCATTGTCATTGAGAACTGTCCCCCAACATACATACATATAAGAATGAATGAATGAAGCCAGCCAAGCAGTGCCACACCACATGGCCATGGCAGGATGGGAAGGCTAGGTATGTGTCTAGGAGCCACAGCTGTGTGACTCCTGGTAGACCAGTTCACTGTAGTGATCCACGCACCTTTCTCCAGGAGAGAGCACAGTGAGACCATTCTGTGGGGGCTTGGTGTCCAAGGAGCTTAAGGGGGAGGTGGGATTCTCATAACTATGTGTGGACTATGACCATGTGCTCTAAAGGGAAATGAACACAGATGCACTTCTTTGACTTTACCCCCCCAAAATAGCATTTTTGTTATTTGTTTTTTGAGTGTCTTATACAGCTTGCTTGCAAACACATTTATGAAATTAGTAGAGTTAGCTGGGGTGGAAACCTCTGACACATGTGTGTGCACACATGCACACTGTGGGTAGTGGTTCCTCTCCCCGCGCTGAGTGAGATCCACCTTCTAATTACTTCTCCACATCATGTCCTCCTCACCTCATGTAGTGGTGGGCTTGTTGTAAGCTCTGAGTCAGTGCTTTTTGGTAATGATAGGGAAATAGCAGATGGATGCATACTCAGTCTAAGGTGACTCAGCTAGTGAGCAGCTGGACACAGACCTGTTTCCCATTGTCCCAGTCCAGTGTCCCTTCTGAAAGGGCCAGAGCCACTCTTCTCCATGAAGACATTTTGGCAGCAGGGCTGCAAGATGATGGAATTTCCTCAGGGCTATGGGAATTTGTGGCTCTGCTTTGCTGGGTGCACATAGGCCACAGTTCCTGCCACTCACTGGGCTGATGCATCATGTGCTCTGGACTCATGGAAGTAAGTGAGCAATCATGCTTCACCCTCAGCATGAACTCCTCCTCCTCCTCACAGTGGGTCTCCTTAATAGCCTGGGTTTCTCATGGTCAGCTCTTCTCCATTAGGTCACTCAGATATCCTAACTCCCTGTGTATCTGAAGATCTGTAAGATACCTTCAGAAACACTGCCCTGGATCCTTTGAACATGCAAATTTACTCTTTAGTTCCATATACATAGAAAAACAAAACCTAGACTTTGGAGGAATGTATAAAGTTCAAGTGGGTGAGAGTGATACAGATTAATCTCTTAGCACATGTGGATTTATCACCTCCTATATGTTAGTCAACATGTGGATTTATCACCTCCTATATGTTAGTCATTGTGCTAGAGTTGGGGACCCAAAGTCAAGCAAGATTGACAA